AAACAACGTCTACACTTTGACTTTACACAGCATCTACCATATCTCAATAACGCTGTTCGTTACTCAAATATAAAGCATCAGAGGGCTCGTCCATAAAAGACGTCACGTTTTTTTGGCAGTGTTTTACTTCTTTGCCCCCGCGTCACTTATCGTTACAAAAAGTCAGACCCCTCTTTAAACTGATGTCATACACCACCCTTTCTAGTTTTTTTTAGTTCGTCTGTTTTTCTTCACATCAATTGCCATTCTTGACACAACATTAAATAAGCGCTTTTAGCATCCGTACGTGGTACCATGCGTAGATAAATTATACCGCGAAGCAATGAGAAGTTGAAATGATTATTTAAAAATATTTTAAACAGGCAAATGTAGGTAGTCCTTGCAGACCTGGCATCGCATGTGAAAATAACAGTAGACCAATAATATAAACTAGTATCATGAATCATGGTTTAAGGCACTTTTACCACAGGTGGTTTGTCCACAGCGGGAATTTGATCAAATATGCTTCGTCCGTGCATAGTAAGAATTACCTTAATAATATGATTAAAAAGTTGCGTAATTTATTTTTAGGTGCAGCACGAAGCGTTAACATAATTACACATGTGTAAATAAAAGTCATCCAGTTGGGAAACGATGCATAATTCTGCACGAAAAAGTATATCATGCTGTTCAGATATATTTGCGTGCAATTGCGTTAATTAGATGTCAACTTCAGCGTCACCGGGACAAGATGGGACAAGCACTCGGGATACAGCTGGACCAGGAGTTGACCCTGACGCAGCACATTAGGAATCTATGTAATAAAATCTCCAAGAGGTTGAATATTCCTAAGAAAACCAATATCAGGTGGGCCGCTTACGCCGGGCTCTTGTGCTGCTTACATCGGCTATGGGGGGTCGTCCATAAATGACGTCACACTAGTAGGGGGAGGGGGGTTCGTAATTTTGTGACGGTGTGTGATGAGGTGGGTTCAGATGGTGCGACGTCATTTTTTGCATTATAAAAAAGCAATGTTAGAAAACTAGTTGTAGCCGTTATTTCGCGTTTTAGAAAACGGTTTTAATAAATTATAATAGTAGCTAGTTGCACACAAGTTTTTAAATAATTAAAATGACAAAATAACGACGGGGTTGTATTAAGGGGACTAAATGTTGCAAAATGATACCAAATTTATGTTTATAGCAGTGGCGTAGCTAGGTCGGGTGTCACCCGGTGCGGCACTTCATGGTGTCACCCCCCTCCCTACACACACCAAGGAAACAAAAGTTATATATATATATATATATATATATATATATATATATATATATATATATATATATATATATATATATATATATAGGGAGTGAGTGTGTATTGTCGAGATGGTCAATATGTACTTCTAAGACTTTTAAACTTATTATTATTCATTAACTGAACAGGCAAAAAGCATATTTCTTCTATATACTTTGCAATGTTTCGTCTTGGTGTCATCACCCTAAATGGTGTCACCAGTGTTTCTTCCAGACTTAGTCCCCCCCCCCCCCCCCCAAGAGATGCCTGGAAGAAACTCTGGGTGTCACCCGGTGCGGTCCGAACCCCCGCCCCCGCCACACGACGCCTCTGGTTTAAAGGATAAACGGTTCTCTAGATGTGACTGTTTTAGTGTAAAAATTGCGGGGACAACTAAGCCTATGGAGAATGAAAACAAAAATTGGTCAGGTCGAGAGTATAGAAAAAAAGGCGAAAGGGAAATAACTCTGCGTTGGCGCACAATTTTAAAATGTTCAAATAAGTATTTTTTAATGCATTTACAACTGCATAGAGTATCTCAAGCAAGATATTAATAAATTATTTAATTTAAAAGTGGTCTATTAAAAATTGTTTAAATAAAAATTGACCACTGGCTTGATTAAATCATTTAACTCAAACGTCATGTCAGCATGGAAGCATGTCAGTTAAGAGATAATCTCTGGGTGTCGTTTGATAACTGAACATAGCTGGCGCGAAACAAACAGCAATGTTATCAAGAATCGAGCACCTCACATAGCCAAGTAGACAGACGCACGCGAGGGTTTCTGCCCGACTTTGGCCTCCAGTTTTAAATACGACATCTTGCCACCTGGTTTTGAACGTGAGCGACAACTTGGTCGTGGGATGACCTATGATCACCAGGCCGTGTACTGAACTATCAGTTTAGTTAGCAGGCCCACTACATACTAGACCACACTGTCCAGTTGTGATAACATTTAACAAAAGCTTGGGGATACGGGGTCTGGAAAAATTCTGGCAACAATGCAGTAGCGTAGCGAGGGGGGGGGGGCGGGGGGATCTCCGGGCGCCGACCTTAGGGGGCGCCAAAATGGGTTGGAAAAATAAATTGAAAGGTTGAGGGGGGTGCAGAATCGAAAGTTTGAGTGGGGGGGGGGGGGGGGTGCACATCAAAAGTTTGAGGGGGGGGGGGTTGCAAATCGAAATCTTGCGGGGGGGGGGGGGGGGTTCAAATCGAAAAGTTTGTCCCCAGGCGCCGGGAAGGGTCGCTATGCCTCTGAGTGACAGACGTGATGTTTTTTGATGGATGACCCCCAAAACCCACAGTTATCCAACGGATGACGGGTATTCTAGTATAGATTCTATCACTTTATCAATTCACGCATTTTTACTTTCTCGTATATACGAAGTATAGAGAAAGTATTGTAATCGTGCAAACAAAAAAGAGATTTTTACAAATCTCGACGTTTTACATCTCACTGATACGGAAAAACATAATTTTGCAATCTTGTCCGTATGTCTGTCTGTCTGTCTATGTGTGTGTAAACACGATAACTTGAGTACCGTTACAGCTGGGTTGATGAAATTTCATATATAAGTATTTTATCAAAATCGTAGATCCGTATCAACTTTCCAGCGATTTCCGATAATTGGAAGTGGTACTTTTCCTACTTTGAAATTTTCAAAAGCCTATAACTTGAGTACTATTTCAGATAGATAAACGAAATTTCACATGTAAGTAAAAGATCTAATTCTCTACCTTCTGTTAAATTTTGAGTAATTTCCGTTGAGCGGAAGTAGTAATTTACGCTTTCTCAAAAAGCTAATGTAAATTTTTAAAGTACTAATAATATTGCGCACTATTATGCACTTTTTTATTTAGCGTTCACTTGGTGTGCAATTCTTTTGTCTACGAGATTTTATTCTATTTTTAAAACTTAAAGTATTTCAAATGGATTAAAAATCATGTCTATAGTCCGAGTTCCCATCCCCTGTTATTTTATATAAAAATATTCGAGAAAGTTTAGGGGAGATCACTCCCGGTTTATTTTCCCCAGTGCTTTAAATTTTAAAAATGTACAATAGAGTTTCATAACTAAAACCATTGCGCACCCAATGTACGTGATGGCGCGTCTATAATATTGCGGAATAGTTGATTAAAAATTATAATTAGTAAACAGTACATTCAGTGAATAAAATAAATAAAAGATAGCCTTTTATCAATCAATGCTAATTATAATATTCCAACAATACTGTACTCTTACACGTCTGCATAATTTGCATTCACATTTTGCTAATTATATATTCCAACGATTATTCCGTCTTGCAGATTTTGCATTCACATTTTTAGCGTGAGTTCAATTTATTTTTAAAATACCTCCCTTGGCAAAATTACTAAACAGTTTAATTAGATTTTTCTAACCTACAGCTATTATGTTATTAAAATGTATCCACTTTCTCTAGGAATATAAACGAAAACAATATTTGACATTGATCCTTTTAATATGTTTTAGCAATGTGCATGTATTTAATATTCTCTTTACGTTATGCAAAATTGTACAAACAGTGGAAATTATAAAATAGCTCTATGTCGTTATATAAACAAACCCTACTCAACTACTCATAATAAGACAATGCGGTGCACTGAAAAGCACTACATGGTGCGATGTTTACTTTTATGATTCCAAAAGCTATAGCGATGACGGAAGGAAGGAAGGAAGGACTGACACAATACTTATCCGCTTATATTATATACTAGCTGCATCCCGTGCTCCGCCACGGTAAATCTTTTTTAAATGTACCAACTTGGGAACAGAACAAAACTAAACACAACACAAACGAACGCAAAAAAACAACGAAAAAACAAACACAACACTCATAACATAAACACAATTTAAATGCAATCATAAAGGCATTTTGCTCACAGTCTAGCCCGTAGCGCCAAAATCGCGCCCTTTCCGGTGATTTGCACCCCCCTCAAACTTTCGATTTGCACCCCTTCCCCCCCCCCCCCCGCCCTAAAACTTTCGATTTCCACCCCCCCCCCCTCGCAAATTTTTTCCAATGCACTTTGGCGCCCCCTAAGGTCGGCACCCGGGGACATATGCCCCCCCCCCCTCGCTACGCCTCTCCTATAAAACCCGAAAGATAGAATAATAATTAGAAAACAGTATAAATAATAGGCAGTATTTAAAATATCCGTGTTTTACCTACAATATTTCACTTTATCCATTCACGCATTTTTTTCCAGTACTTTAAATTTTAAAAAATTACAATAGAGTTTCATAACTAAAACCATTTCGCACCTAAAGAACGTGATGACGCGTCTATAATAGTGCTGAATAGTTGATTAAAAATTATAAGTAATAAACAGTAGGGCCTACATTCAGTGAATAAAATAAATAAAAGATTGCCTTTTATCAATCCATGCTAATTATAATTTTCTAACAATAATTTCCTCTTTCACATCCGAATAATTTGCATTCACATTTTGCTAATTATATTATTGCAACACTAATTCCTTCTATGACGAACGTATATTTGCATTTACATTTTTTATTAGCGTGAGTTTAATGTATTTTTAAATTACCTCCTTTGTCAAAATTAGAAAAGAGTTAAATTAATTTGATTTTTCTACCGTACTGTTATTATCTTATTAAAATGTATCCACTTTTTCTGGGAACCTAAACGAAAATGATATTTGACATTAATCTTTTTAATACGTTTTAGCAGTTTGCGTGTATTTAATA